GGCCACAGAAAGACACACACAGACAAACTTTGTAAGCTTTGTATTTATCGATAGTTTGATATATTAAATGGGATTAAACATGTCTTTCCTTTGGGAAATAACATTCACAGGATGTGTTGAAAAAACAAAACATCCAGGACAAACAAAGCATGATCAGGAAATGCTACTAAAAAAGGTCTGTTGAGATTCATTATTATACATTCAGAGGAAAACATAATCTAAAGTACAGTACAAACTTTTGTCCACATCCAAAATTCCATCTTATTTAAAAATGGTTCAAGGGTGAGCATTGACTCAGCAATACCTTTAGCTTTTTTATGTATAAACCTGCCCTGTTTAATGTACAACACACCCACAATATTTGGTAATGTTTGATCTCTTTCTACCTGGTGGCCTATGTGTAGTTAAACTTTCCTTCTCTTTCAGCAAAAACAGAGTGAGTGCACGTACATACACAGACACAAACATGCATGCGCCTACATTACACACAAAAAAGTCTTCTTTTCAACCGAAATAAATGTTTATGGCATTCCAAACATTTTGTGTGAGAGACAGTATGTGTGGTCCTGTCTGCACCTAGCAGGAGGTTTGAGGTTAAGGTGTTTGTCTGCTAGCGTGTTGTGAGCTGTGGTGTGTGCGTATGTGTGCATGTCAGTGATCTGTGCAAATGAGAGAGAGAGAGAGAAAAGGAATGTGTAACCACCATGTTTCTAATATATATTTGTTTTAAATGAGAAACAAAATAATTGACTGGATCCAAGATTTGTTTCTAACATTGTGAGGGAGTTTTTAGTACAGATACAAATGTAGAGTGCAAGTAAGAGAATAGAAAGTTGGAGTGTTGGATAAAGATCTTCATATAAATTGAGTGAAAGAAAATTCACCAAAGGAGATAGCATAAGAGGATGAGAGAAACGCACAGGCACAGAAACGTACCAACGTGCAGACAAAAAAAGGCCAAGAGAAAGTGCAAAATGTTTTGCTGTGAAATGCTATAAATTCTGAAAAATAGGACTTTTATTCCAAACTTAGTGGTTAAAGAGTGACTATGCAATGTGAGTAAAATGAATGCTTTACTGCAAAATAATCAAACACATTTAAAAATCTTTCCTTTATAGAAATCCGAACAACATCTTTGACTTTTTTTACAGTAGGTTTTACAGGTATTTTGTAAATGTGTCACACATGTCCCAAATGTGGTTGGACTAAAGCAGTTATGTTTTAATATATTTCAATCATGGGAGTCTAAAATTGATGTTCAAAATACGTAAAGGATTGAATCATATGTCTGCTGGGCATCGAAAACATTATTTCCTGTCGCATTTATCATGAAATTAGTTTACACGCGTGATTAGATTTAGACAAATATACATTTCAGCACTTTAACAACATTAAAACCTACTGCTGCAGCTAAACAAAGGCCCTAGAGGACACACACACACACACACACACACACACACACACACACAGCAACATTGATTATACACCCACAGAGCAGATCTTTAACCTTGAAAAGTTGACGTAAAATCTCAGCTTGAGGTCCACTTACTCGCTTGTTATGCAGCCTTTGACCTCATGAAACGCCTTGTCAGCAGGTGAAGCTTCCTTGGTTGTCATTGAACCACAGAATGTCTCGATGATGCATTCCCATCAGATGTTATCCAACATGCTGAAATAAACTGAAGAATGAAATATGTTGAATACGCTTCCACTGTGCATAATCCAAAAGAGTTAGACAATGGCTTTGTTTTTTTCTTTGGCATATATAACAGTCTCATGCTGTAAGAACAACAACAATCCAGCCTCAATAACAGCCAAGCAATTTAGTAACAAATAGCACACAATGCCATTCCAGCGTTTTACCAATCTCTGTGTTATTTCCCCAAAGGACCGTAAGGCCAGCATTATAAAATACATGGAAACAGTTGTTAGCATTTATAGACCATTCTACAAGTACAAGTAAATAGCACAACACAGACACATACACACATCCAGACAAAAAGTATTTACACATACACATGACCACACATTTGTCAAAGACACTTGAATAATGATTTAAACGAGACCACTAGGCACTAGAGCTATCATCATCGGATTGCCGGAGGTTTAAGCTGTTTGATGGAGTAAACTCTTGACCCATTATGCTGTTAATGTTATGAATTCAAATTTAGAAGAGCTTAGTTGTTTTTAAGCATATTTCACTGTCAATAGAGAAGTTTAAACATGAGTGTTCGTTCTTTCGCCTCGTTTATTTTAGGCTGAAAGACGTGTGTTTCTAATTCATAACTCACCACTTTGACTGAAATATTTACAACTTGTGGCTGGTTTGCCATGAACTTTTGTGCAGACATTCTAGTCCCAAAACAATAAGTCCCCCTCTGACTTTTCCTGTCATTATCGGTTAAACATTAAGATATTTTCAACGCTTTAGTTCATGACCAAATGCTTATAGCAAATGTCAGCATGCTAACACTAAACTTCATGGGGAACAGGGTAAACATTATATACACTGCATAAAATGTAGGTATTACCTTAGCAATAAGCTCCAAGCACCACTGTGCTCAAGTTCAGAATCACATAATTGCTATCATGGCTGTTAACTCTTAGTCTTGAAAACTGTCTTGGTGAGAAATGCATTTTGAAATGTACTTCGACATAGGTTACAAGTGAAATATGCCATATTTATTTTTAATAAAAATGTCGGTCTGTAATATCAGAGGAAATGTTTATTGACAAAAAAAAGGACAAAACACGACATGATCTCAAAATGTTTCAGCCCACATATGCACAAAAATAAATATAAAAGTATGTCTTAAAGACATTAACAAACAAAGGATGGAAAGAAGATGGTTGAAGAACTTCTTGTTAATATATTTGCAGTAGGAGACTGAGTAGCAACTCATGGGTTTCTGTATCAAAAGGAAGATGTCATATGCTTACTCGTACACGCACACACACACACACACACACACACACACACACACACACACACACACACACACACACACACACACACACACACACAGATGTATGCCTCTGCTCCAGATGTTGAGAGTATTTCGTTTCAGTGCAGGTAGTGCAGCCTCACATCGGAGAGGAGATAGATCAAAGCCCCTGGACAGCAGTGAAGACATTTTTAGAGGCGTTCGTAAACCAGTAGGACAGCAGTAGTCATACACAGGTTCAATTATTTGCAATGCTACCAGTGTTGGGACTAACGCGTTACAAAGTAACCCGTTACTTTTAGCAGTAACTAGTACTCGAACTCATTACTTTTTAAATTCAGTAACCCAGTTACCGTTACTACATGGTGCGTTACTCCGTTACTGCGTTAGTTTTTTATATATATAGTCAACAGCCAGGCGAACAGAGATGAGAACTGTACTTAAGTACAGTACTTGAGTAAATGTACTTAAATACTTCCTGTGTCACATGCGGAGACGGGCTGTGGATCTATGGTGGGCGTGTTTGTGTTGTTTACTAACAAGACTATCATGGCGGCGGCGGAGCTCAAGTCTAGTTTCTCCACCTGGAGATATTCTCACTATTTCACTTTTGTCGAGCACAAAGAAAAGAACGTTTTAGTTAAATGTAAGTTGTGTCTTGGCGGGTCAAAGATCCTATCTACTGCCCAAACCAGTAATTCAAATCTGTTGAAACATCTGCAAAAACAACATGCTGGGACGAAGCTAGTAGCTAAGACCACAGAGACTCAGCCGACGCCACTCCACCTCCACCTAAGCAACAGCGGCTGGATTTTAACCAAGGGACTGCTAGACAGGGAAAAGTCGATAAAGCCATTGCACGGTATGTTGTAGAACCTTTATATATACACAGTCTATGTGTAGAACACATGCAGGCTATTGCTACAGTGGAGTCACCCGCTTCCAGGGAGCTAGTTAGCATGATACCATGTCCGGGCGGCACACGGCATATGGGACGGAAAACTTTTCCAACTACCTGGAGAAAGAATATACAAAAATGGAAAGCCAGCTAATATCGATGCAATCCAGATTGCATATAATGCATGTCAAGTTGATCAACAGATTGTATTATTCTCCAATGCAATAACAGTACTGAAATGAAGGCTATAAGGGCATTAATGGAAGAACTTTGTGTAAGTAACTAAAACGTTACTTTTCACAGTAACGCATTACTTTTTTTACAGTAACTAGTGAAGTAACTGAGTTACTTTTTAAATGAAGTAACTAGTAATGGTAACTAGTTACTGGTTTTCAGTAACTAGCACAACACTGAATGCTACACATCAAATTGTATTTTTCTCTGGAGGAGGTAAAATGGAAATGTTGCACCACATAAAAACAAGATTCTCATGCTGTTCCTATAAGTCGTGGCATCAGACTTACTGTACATGATAAGTGTCAGGTGAGGTTGCAGATAGGCAAAGTTTTCTCCTAAGAGCACAACCGAGTAACTTTTACCCATACTTCCACAGCATCAATGTTTTTAAACCTGAATTTTAACATACAGTAACCAAAAGGGAACTCAGTACAGTAGCTGCTGTAGATGAACATGGGAGTCTGCTTAAGTAATTAACTGTGACAACATTTGAGTGTAAGGCTATTTTTCGATAAGGTGCCATTAAAGATGTATTATCACATCTAAGTTATTTAAGTAGTTAGGTAGGTAGGTGAAAATGAAATAAAACAATGTAATATCACATGCCTGTCAAGCTTAAAACACCATATCTAACTCAAAAAGCCAGATGTGTAAATTAGACAAATGCATCTTATCTGTGAAATCACACAGACTCCTGTTATACGTGGCCACAAAGTAAAATGTTACCTTTGTGACTAAATCAAAAATAAATCAGCACTTTTCTAACTTTGTCTTTATTCTCCTCTTATGGCACTTGTGGAATAGTCTCAGACTTTCGTTCATGTGGGGGATTCAAAATCACCATTTGTGGTTATGTGAATGACAGACATGTCTTGGCCTTGACCACTAATGTAGTAATTTCTTCTCTCAACTTTATATGAAGCCTTTTTTTAAACAGGTGTCATTAATCATATCTTCAATGGGTTCAAATACCTCCTGTGTGGTCTAGTCTGAAAAGTAAAATAAAATACAAATAATAAAATAAACCTATATGGCCATTTGGGTTGTCATCAGTCCAATATAGGTATATACTGTATAGGTAAAGCTCACCATTAATGAACTGAACATATCTATTACAATCTTGTAATTTATTCTTTGCCCCCATTGGACTTGAATAGATCAAAAGGTAGGTGTTTTTTCTATTAAAATCGAAACTGCTTTTTCATGCAATATATTACATTAATAATAATTGATTAGTCCTTAGATCATACTGTTAAAAATGTGGACAGAAAACTCTGCTGTTGGCCATCTGAAGATATTCTGCTGCTGCAACAGCAAGTGAAAGAGCACTATCTGCTGGTCTGGTGAAAGTATTGCGTGTGAGATGTGACACTTGTCATTGGATATGAGAGTATTGGGCATAAAGATGTTAAAACCCATATCTTTGATAACTGCTACTGATGTACATAATGTAACCTTTTCTTTTTTATATCAGGGAATTGTAGTCACCCTTCAAGCAATACAGTTTCTCTACTTTGCTATAGACGTTTAAAATAAATTATTCTTAGGTGTGGTAATGATGTAGCTCCACAAGCAGATGATTTGAAAAATATCTATTGGCTTCATCAATATGTTTAGCATTTCTATATTTTATTGTGCACTGTGTGAAGAGTTGATTTATTTTTTAATAGATAACAAACAAAAAATTCTCTGTGACAAAGTATTGATGGCGAAACAAAGATAAAAGGATTTCAATTTGTTAAAATAGGAAGTACCTTAGAGTTTTATTTTTATTTTGTGTCAACTAAATCTTTCAGTTGACCTTTTAGGAGTCATTATGGACAACCCTAGATTTGACCAAATCTCCTAAGCGTTAAATTAGATTCCTATGAATCAGACAAAATCCCTCTTTATGTCTGACGTAAATGTTTGAGGTGAACATGGCAAGGACATTTGCCGCTTAATTATTAAAAGTGTGTGCTGTCTGCTCGGAGGGGGAGATATTCTCTGGACATGATGTGACTGACCTTGTTGCTTTCAACCCATTCACACTCCCGCCTTGCTTCACTGGTGGATGTCACAGTGTCACCCACAGGGATGAGAGAGAGGGAGAAAGAGAGGTGGTTGGTGGACATTCCTACACTGGTTGCTACTTACAAGTTCTGCATTTACACACACACAATACCCCCCCCCCCAAACACACACACGCACAGCAAGTCACAGCACCCTCACGTAGATCTCTGGCAAAGCCAAAGCGATGCAACTGCTCCTCCATTGTGGACCCCCTTAACTCCCTCCTTCTCCCACTCTTTCTCCCCACTCCCCCCAATCTCTACCCCAATCCCTGCTAGATGGCCCCGCTCTTTTCTCCTGGTTGTCATGGAGACGGCTAACAAAGCCATCACTTTTACCAATTTCCTCAGAGACAGGTGCTGGCACAATGACTGCTTCCTCGCCGGCTGAAAGGGGAAGGGGCAAGAGGGGTCCATGGGAACTCCAGGCGGACACTCTGAGGGCTGTCCAAGTGTCCTCCTCCCCAGGCCTTGCCGAGAAAAGAAGGCTAATTTGTTGTCCCTGTTTTCCCAGGGAGGGGGGATGCAGGAGGAAGAAGGAGGGGGGAGAGAGAGAGGCTGTGGGTGGAAGGAGGGCGAGCGAGCAAGCGAGAATAAGGCAGAGAGAGAGAGTGAGAGCATGCAAAGGGGTCTTCACCAGTTTTCAAAACAAACCGCCTAATATCAGTCACTTCTCGTTTTCTCCTGCCAATGGGTGGCAAGGTCCTTCTTTCTCCCCTTGTTTCTTCATCTCCTCTCGCTTCTCCTATTCTCCTGCTACAGGTCTTTGGGTCCGGAAACAATGGCGAGTCATGGCATCATGACTGCAAGATGTTTCAATTTAGCTTTCAGCAAGCGTTCATTACCCCCTTTGTGAGTGCCGTGTGTGTGTGTGTGTGTGTGTGTGTGTGTGTGTGTGTGTGTGTGTGTGTGTGTGTGTGTGTGTGTGTGTGTGTGTGTGTGTGTGTGTGTGTGTGGTGTGTGTGTGTGTGTGTGTGTGTGTGTGTGTGTGTGTGTGTGTGTGGTGTGTGTGTGTGTGTGTGTGTGTGTGTGTGTGTGTGTGTGTGTGTGTGTGTGGTGTGTGTGTGTGTGTGTGTGTGTGTGTGTGTGTGTGTGGACTGCAATGTTTAGTGACAAATACGCTGAGCAGTAACAATAAAACTTTTTTCAACTTAAGCTAATAGCATAATACAACATTGGTCAGACAGAATGTGAAACATTATGTGAACATTAAAACATACTACTAAATATCAAACAGTTTATGAATATTGTTCACTTGTTTCCACTTTGATATTATAATGTCACATAAAATATTAATACGTTTATTTTATTAGGGAACATTTCATGTGAGTATGGTTGATAAGCTAATGTTTCTTTTTTTAATTCACTGTTTACTGCTTTCTTTCAGAGCCTGGCTGACACTCTGAAGGAGGGGCTGTCTGTTGGCACAGCTACAAAGTATTTACTGCCCCTCTTAAGAGAGAAGCCCTGGGCTTCCAGTTTGATGGAGCTGTATGTGTGTATCTGTCTGTACATGTGTGTCTGCTTATGAAGATGTGTGACTTTGTTCATGCGTGTGTGGGAGCTCTTGTTTGAATAGACCATACAAACTTTTTGTTGGTGGCACAAAACTCTTTGAGGCCGCATATAAAGCACGTACCTTCTGTTAAGGACGAGCCATTCAGCTGCAAAAGACCCTAACGGCTGTTGTATTGGCCTGTGTTGTGTGTGTGTGTGTGTGTGTGTGTGTGTGTGTTGTGTGTGTGTGTGTGTTGTGTGTGGTGTGTGTGTGTGTGTGTGTGTGTGTGTGTGTGTGTGTGTGTGTTGTGTGTGTCTGTGTGTCTGTGCGTGTGTGTGTTTGTGTGCAATTTATAAATGCCAATAAAAATCTGAAATCCATTATATCAAGCAAATATTGCTTTGTAATGGCCTGAAGACCCTACATTTTAACCCTGTTTCTCATGTCATGTTAAAGATGCTGCCTTTATACATTTTTATATAAGGTATCTATCTATGAAAAAATGAATATCTACTAGTATGGGCATATCTCAATAACCATGAAGGTGATCTACTTCTCCCTTTGATTCGCAGGTGTACATTATTATAAAATGTGAATAAACATCTGAGGAGCAATCTGAGAGCTACATCAAGTTGCAAAGTTATGACAAACAGAATGGGAAGAGGTAAACAAAGGTAGCTTGTATTTTTCAGTACAGCCAACACGGGATGAATAGGCAGAAGGGACAGTGTGTTAATAGCTGAAACTGACTCACTGACATCACACCTTGATGGAAGGTGCACCCTTTGAGAGGCAGACACTGTGATCAACCTCCCTGTTTCCTCGAGATAAGTAGTCATTGCACTCCGTATGGCTCTCAACTTTTAATTTTTGCCTTGCTTCTGCAATTATTCCCTATTGCTCTGCATGTGAAAGGGGCTTTCCCTTTGTGGTTTCAAACTCTCTCTGTTTGTCCTTTTTTACTCTTCTTCAACAAAACGCGGCTGTGCCTCAGTGGCTAAATCTGCTTCTTGGTTTTGACAAAACATTTGATTACTTGACCAAAAGGCACCGTGGCTGCTGCTTGGAGCATTTGGTCCTACATTATCGGTTGCGCACATTGAGCTGCTCTGTGTTTGGCTGTTATGTAGCATATTCATAAGATCTTTGTGGCATGCTGGGGTCATAGACGCAGGCAGAGCAGGGAAACTTGGATTTAATCGTTCATAAAAATCATTCTCTTTTTCTTCATAAGGCTCATCTGTAAATATAGTTTTAACGCTTTCCCTATCATCTTCTGACTGTTGAGGAGATGCCATGACTTCTAATCTCTAACGGGTCTCCTAACCCTTACTCCCCCTTAAGGAAACCTTGTTCCTTATCATAGGCGTGAAGCCCTTTTCAGTTCCCCCTTCCTTCTACGTTTCTGTATCACCGTGCACTGTGACCGGATTCTAGGGATTTATAGAGGTCTCTCATGTACAACTATATTAGGAAAAGAAGTATTCTTTACCAGGCTACTCTCAGGTTCTTTTAGTGCTCGGTACTCTAGCTTCCGGGGGCCTCGGGGCAGGGTGTTTCACTCCCACAAAACTTTGTTTTTAAGGGTCACTTAAGGGTGTACAATGCCAAACTCTGCAAGGCAAGGAAAATCGGGCGAGTTTTCACTTTCTACTCTTTGGACCAGGCTACACTCAGGTTATTTTAGTGCTCGATAGCCTACTCTAGCTTCTGGTGCCTTGGGCACTCTAAAATCCCCCCCGGGGTGTTTCACTCCCGCAAAACTTTGTTTTTAAGGGTCACTTAAGGGTGTCCCCCTGACAATGCCAAAGTCTGTAAGGCAAGGATAAATCGGGCGACTTTTCAACACTTTTCACTTTCTACTCTTTGGATCTAAGGTTCTCTTTTAACTCAGAGGTCCCTGTTCGGGTGCCATGAAAAGGAATCTAACTTCGATACAACCAACATCAATATCTAGGTCTAGGTCCGATACCAAGCTTCGATGCTGTGATAAGGCTCCGGAAAACGGCCGTCCTACCTTTAGGACTAAACCCCCCAGAATCTACACACAAGATCACCGTCATCTGTTTAGTTAACAGTGTGGCCTCTAACACCAGCTGCCCGTCGTATCACTTATTCCAGGCACTAAAGCGTCGGATGTCCGACCGCCAGGATAGCAAAACGGAGTGTGTAGTGCAGTATGTGTTGATGGGCTGGTAGAACCCCGGAGCACTATCTAAACTGTCCCTGGAGGAGAAACCCTGTGTCGTTGGGAGACTCCCTGGTAATTAGGGCAGCTTCAGGACCCACAATCCCTAACCCCCTCTTTTGATCCCCAGTTATACCAATCAAAACAATGCAAATGTAATATTAAACATAGCCAGAGTCAAACATTAATATCACAGCAGTGATATTACCACATCAGCAGAGCATATGTCATATTTCAGTACCACACATAAAGACAACAAGCACACACACAAACATAGTGTGCCCGGAAAAAAAAAACCTCCCAACGACCCACGCTTACCCCCTAATCCCACCAGGAGCGTCTGCGCTGCGTTGCGGCGTTTTTAGCGATCGCGGCCTCTAGTCAATGGGTGCTATTCCACCAGACCCGCTGCGCCGCGCTGCGCCGCGGCTCGACGCGTCCCAGAAGCTCCTTGCCGCAAGGAATTTCTAAAATATAGGATGAATCCTATTTTTGACGCGGCGCAGCGTGGCGCAGGCAGGAAGTGGAACGTTCATCCAACAACTGCGAGGCTGCACACACGACGCTCCGCTTCGTTTTGAAACGCGCCTGGTGGGTTATGACGCAGGAGGAGGTCGCAGCGCGGCGCAGACGCTTCCGGTGGGATCAGGGGGTTATCTCAACACACCCAGGCTTTCTCTCTTTGGCATTCACTCACTCTCTCTCCAACAGATATACACACACACACACACACACACACACACACACACTACACTACACTACACACACAAGCCTATCTTTCATCCCAAAATTCATGGAGGCAAATCTCTCATCCTCTGCCAACCATTCTTTCTTTTCAACTCTTGAAGGCACCATCCCCTCTTCTGTCCAAGCATTGCCTATAAAATCTCCCCATTATTCTGAAAAACATTGAACAATTTACTGTCACAAGCACACTCCGTATCCTTTATTTTCTCTGGCCTCATTTCAGACAAGTGCTTTTTTTTTTGGCCCCGAAATAACCTAGCTCAACTGAAGAAGCCTCATCCTTGTGGCAATAGAGTTCACATTAGCTATAGTAACTATGCATCTCGCAGTACAGATTTGCAGGGTAACAACTTAGATGTGGTCAATATTGTACAATTATGTAATGTATAGTGGCTTAGTAACAACTTCAATTGTTACACCTACATCTTTATCCGCTTGGGGTCACTTGTCATCATCACAGGAAAGCTAGCTGATTCCCAAATACTTTATTTTTTTCTGTTCTGATATCATTGCACACAGCAGCAGGCTTAGTGAGAGTTGTAGTCCAGAGGGCCTCCACTCTCACAGGGATCAGACAATAGATTACAAGATATTAGTGACATCATCTTCGGAGGATTTTGACCTCTATTGGTATCAGCAACAGCTAAAAACACAAATAAATGTACAACTTTGTACATTTTTGGAAAACTATATTTACAGCGGCAATGAATATTATTGGACGCCTTTTGGTGCAGTACTACATTGCACGGAGGGAGGAAATTAGTCAACCTTAAATCCTTGACTGCAGTCTATAGGCTATATCTTTAGGCTATACTGATCCTTGGTGGTCAGATGAAGTATTACAATCATTGTTAATCAAGCAAGCTGCAAACCCTGAACTTTGGTCATGTTTACAAGAAAAGCTGGTTGAAAAAGTTTGCTCAAAATTGTAAAAATTTGGAAAATAAATCCGTGGTCTGAAAGGAAATGTAGGCCAATTTCACACTCCCAGATACCTTCTGAAATGTGTTTTCTTATAAGAAAATTAGATAGCACCATCTCTAGGTAAATGAGGGAATTATTATTTCTACAAAAATAAGAAATACATTATTTGTTAATCTCCATTATCATGTATATTATACATATTGAATATATCTTACAAACATCAGTTTGTTTACAAGAAACTAGAAATATAATATTTTTGAAAAGGACTTTTATTTTTGCAGTATGTGAAGTTGAAACTGATTAGCAATATACAGTAAGGGGATGCATTCATTGGAAAAAACAATAGTCACACTTGTTTTTGTGGTTGTGTATTCTAAGGTTAGAATATTGTAGCTAACATATTAGCCACACTACTCAAATTAACTTAAAAAACATAATCAATAGGGAGGCAATACAAACTAACTGTACATATTTAAATATATATATTTGAAATAACAGTTGTTTTGATTTTATTTGTTCTGCTTTTCTATGTAGCTGTGTAGTGTACCACTGTTGTTAAAGGGGTTGTATGTAAACAATGTATGTTTTGTTCATTACTGAATAAAGAATACACATTTAAAAAATACTCCAGACAGGGTTTCCGTTCTCTCAGCCATAACAGCAGGGGTATAAACGGTATGTAAAGAAGTGTTTAGCCCTATTTACAATATTTCTTCAGCATCTGCATCTAACTTGTTGGTAAAGGTATGTGACTCTTTAACTTTTTCAGATTCATTTAGCAAGTGTTAAGTGTGTTTCAAACTGTTCGGTAATTAAACAGCGCCACCTAACGCCGCAGTGTCCTCGGTGCTATCATTTAGCGAGCTAACATTTATCTACTATTAATGCAGTTTGACTGTATAAGAAGCTAACATTATGTTATATGACATCTTGCCACCAAATTATGTTTATTTAATTAAAGTTAAATGTAGTTAAGTGAGATAGTTTTAACTGTCAGCGCCAGCTAACATGTAGTAACCTCGGTTCTAGTGTAGTTATCTAACAATAATCTACCAATGCCTTTGACTCGTATAGAAGATACATCAATGATATGATAATCATAACATGTGTATCACTAAAGCCACTAAATGATATAGGTGTCGACATTAGACTGACACATTTTTTTTTTAAACTTTATTTATTTAAACTTTAACCAGAGATACATTTCTCCCATGCTAACGTGTATAGTTATTTTTTAGCCCTCTTTCTATGTGGCTGTTTACCCCTGTTGTTAACGGTTTTGTAAGTAAACAATGCATGATGTTATGGTTATATTATGTTGATGGGAGAAACATATAATTAAAAAAAATACTCGACGGGGTTTTCGTGCTCTTGTCCTTAAAAGCAGTGGTGTAAACTTAATATTTAGAAGTTTTAAGTTCTAGATTCATTACTTACCATCTTCTTCAGTATCTGCATCCAATTTGTTGCTAAAGGGAAGTGACTCTTGAAATCCAGCTTCGCAGTAGCCTACTGTATAATTGTTCACATTAATTTAGCAAGTGTTCAATGTGGTAAAGTGAGATTTTTAAACAGTGTTTTGGTTATTAAACAGCGCCACCTAACGTCTTACTGTCCTACGGGCTATCGTGTAGTTAGCTAACATGTGTCCATGTTGATGTCGTTTGATTCAGAGAAGCTACATGTAACGTTAAAGTTTATAATAAACCTCAAATGTGTATTGACAAACGCCACCAAATTATTTAAGTAGCCTATCTTCGACACTAGACTGACAAAATATATGTCTTATGTTGTTGAGTGAATTACTCCTAAGCTAAAAATCCTGCTTGTAGAACTGTTTAATGAACTATGTTATATGTAGCAGAGTAATTAATAAGCTAATGTTAAATGATATGACAATCATAGGTGTAGTTAAGTGAGATGGTCAATTTATTTTACATTTTTAATAAAGAGGCTCTACCTAAGGTTTACCAAGTATGAATACAGTGATTTATTTGAATAAAGGAATCCCTACTGCAGGAATTCAAAACATAATAATGCTTTACATCCGTTTCTCCTATTAGTAGTGTTAGCAACAGGTGTTTATATTCAAACGTCTGGGCCCATAGCACTGCTGGCAAAAGCAACATTCTAATCACACATCGCTAGTGAAGCATAGGGTTCTCATGGAGAGCTATCAAGGTTCAAGGTTCTTTATTTGTCATCCACACATCTATTGAAAAAGAGAGAAAAGGGAAGTCATAAAGCTGTTCAGGTATTAAGATGTGTTGTGATTAAAAAAGAAAGTCAATCAAAACTTAAGCTACCCTTATTATTTGTTTATTTTAAAGTTGAGAACATTTTAAAATGCAAATGTTTTGAAAGTTTCCTGTTATGAATTGTGCTATTTAATGCAGTTAATTTACTTGAAATGATCAAATAAACAGTGTAAACCTCACTTTATGCGAAACAATACCAAGGACATGAGCTTGGAGTCCTGCTTGACTGTTAAAGCAAATCATGCACCTTTGTGTAGTGATTTTTCTACATTTCTACCCACAGGTTCATGTCTGAAATGACCTGTCTTATTTACCCCCTACAGTCAGGCTAGATCTGCACCGAAGGCTAACTACTTAGACTATGTTTTTGGTAGGTCTCTGAGGAGTCCCGGAGGAAGGAGATACAATGAAGGATAAGGAGGGGCATTTCGGCTGCTCCTTGCAGGAGCTGCGCTCCCTCATGGAGCTAAGAGGAGAAGAATCCTGTGCAATGATCAAGGAACAGTATGGAGATGTCAACGGACTGTGTTCCCTGCTGAGAACATCACCTGTCAATGGTACATATGATGAGGAACGCTGCTTCTGTGTTAGGTTGGTGTCTCTGGTTACTGCCAGATGTTGCATCACACCAAGTTTCAAATACGGACAAATCCTTGAAATGAACAGAAGACAACCTTATATATGTATGTTCTTATAATATTAGACACGTTTGCCAATAATACAGCCCAACAGATTTGGAATCTATGGACATTTTGACCCCCCCCCCCCTGCATTTTGAAACGCATATTGTTAGCGAAGCATTACGGCAAATTATACAAGTCTCTTAAGATAGAGATTCCAGAAGGTTTCTAAAACAAAATAATATATTCAATAAACTGAGTGGGTAGGACATGAGTCTGATATGGTCTTTGTGTCTCCTGCTGCAGGTTTGGATGGAACAGTAGAGGACATCAACAGAAGGCAAAAGGAGTATGGACAAAACATCCTCCCTCCTCAAAAGGCAAAAACCTTTCTGCAGTTGGTGTGGAAAGCCCTGAATGATGTCACACTCATCATCCTCCAAGTGGCAGCCATCATTTCTCTAGCACTTTCCTTCTACAGTCCACCCAGTGCTGACAGACAGCGTGAGTTTAGATTTTGCTTTAAAAAAATCAAATTAACCTGTGTGTAGACACCTCACAGCTTATTTTCAGGTACAAAAAATAGCTGTTTTAATGATATTAAAGATTAATGCTACACATTGTAAGTGGGGTGGCAGGTTTGAGAGACAGATGGGTACGTCTAAGGTCACTCTTCCTCAGCCTTTTACTCTTAGCTTGATTTTCATTGCATATTTAAATTGTACCTGTTTTAATATCATCATCATTTAAGTTTTTTTTATTAAAACATTAGATATATTCACTCCTTTTCTATGACATGTATAAGATGTAGGTCAGCACTGTTTGAGCGGTTAAATAAGCAAGGTCAAATAACTTAACGTTGACACACGTTGTCTCGGTTCAGACTGCGGCGAAGCGGCCGGCGGCGTGGTGGAGGACAGTGAGGCGGAGGCTGGATGGATCGAAGGTGCAGCCATCCTCCTGTCTGTGGTCTGCGTCGTCCTGGTGACAGCCTTCAACGACTGGAGTAAGGAGAAGCAGTTCCGCGGGCTCCAGAGCCGCATCGATCAGGAGCAGAAGTTCACCGTGGTCCGGGCAGGGCACGTGATCCAGATCCTCGTGTCAGAGATTGTCGTCGGAGACATCGCACAAGTCAAATATGGTAAGAGGAAAAAGTGGATCAGCTAAAACACAGCTCACCGTTGATTGAAAGTGATGAAGACTGCCAAAATAACTGCTTGCAATATAGCTATTTGGAAATGCTTTACGATTTCAGTTTTGACAGGGTTGCACTTGCAATTTTGTATTTGTCATGACATCTAGCTCTTGCTCCTTTTGAATTGGACTATTTATCAGATATGGGAGAATTCTCAAACGAAACACACACAGTCTAATTACGAGGTCTTGCATTATAATTGTAAGTCATTTTAGACATAAGCATCTTGAAAAAGTGAATGTAGCATAATGACATTGAGGTGTCCTAGGAAAACTACTATTGAAAATCTTCAATTTGTTTAGTAACGCTCTCAGTTCAATGTAACAATGACTCTGGCTCTCAGAGAAGAACACAGGTCTAATGTCTTCTTTTGTAGACGGAATAATCGTGTCTGAAAGTTGTTTCAATACAATCATTTTATTGTTGTTATCCTCCAGTCCTCATGTGACAGATACAATGTTGTGGTGAGGACCTGATGAGGGTGAGCTGTTGTTACAGTGTACCTGTTGGTTGTTTTTCCAGGTGACCTCCTGCCTACTGACGGCGTCCTGATCCAGGGCAACGATATGAAAATTGATGAGAGCTCTCTGACCGGGGAGTCGGATCATGTGAAGAAGAGTGTCGACAACGACCCCATGTTGCTGTCAGGTGCTCCACCCTTCTCCATTCACATGAAAACACATCAGGAAAAAGGACCATGACCGATAAACAACATGCATATTATTTCAATTAAATGTATTTGATTTAAATACCACCCAATAATCGTGATCTCAGTAAGGTCCAGAATAATCCAAAAGCCCTACCGTCTGAAGCTTCCATCATGATCAACTCCTGTCTCTCCCCCTCAGGTACCCATGTGATGGAGGGCTCTGGCAAGATGTTGGTCACTGCTGTTGGAGTGAACTCTCAGACTGGAATCATCTTCGCGCTGCTTGCTGCTGGTGAGGAAGATGACAGTGATGATGCTGGTGAGGAAGATGGCAAACAAAAGAAAGAGCAGGTGGACATCAAAGGTAAGTTCAGAACACAAAGTAATCTGATTATTCTAGAGACTGCTTACCATGAATCATTATAACTTTAGTGCTTCATTCAAGTAGTTGAAGTTTGATTTAGTCATAACAATACAGATTTCAGTCTCTTAGACTACATCGACCAACATCAGCTGCTATGCTGGGTTAAACCTGGCTTCATAGACTCGACTTGTGTTATTGCCTTCCTATCCTCTGTAGGACAAAACGATGATGACGTTGCGATGGACATGCGGCCGCTCAACGAGGATGGACAACCAGAAAAGAAGAAAAATCTATCAACGAAGACCAAGTCAGTCCTCCAGTTGAAGCTGAACAAACTGACCATGCAGATCGGCAAAGCAGGTACTGATTATATTAAATCATATCATTGTTTGGCCTTCTATTACAGTTTGTAACCTTAATAACTTAACTACATGATTGTCTGTGCACATAACACACACACACACACACACACACACACACACACACACACACACACACACACACACACACACATGTATTTGTCTCTCCTTTTGTCTAATAATACAAATCACAACTGTCAAAAAACTACCATACAAATCATGATTTCACCATCATGAGTTCCAGTGTGTGGTGAAACAATGACCTCCCACTCTCATACAAGGGTGGTCCTCTTCCCTTTTGAAAATCAATGTAGACACTCCATTGATAACTCATCGTCATCTCATGAGAAAAACTGGGTTTTAGTCTCAGTTTACTCTCAGTTTGGTCTCTGCATGAAAACACTTTTCACTGCTCATTAAGGAACTAAAATGTATTTTCATCTGTGTCTTCAGGACTGCTCATGTCGTCTCTCACCGTCCTCATCCTCATCACTCGCTTCCTGATCGATACCTTCTGGGTGCAGGGTGTTCCCTGGTCCAGCGACTGTATGCCCATCTACGTGCAGTTCTTGGTCAAGTTCTTGATCATCGGTGTGACGGTGCTGGTGGTGGCTGTGCCTGAAGGTCTCCCTCTGGCAGTCACCATCTCCCTGGCCTATTCAGTCAAGGTCTGTTAGTACACAACATTACACAGCCCGTCACTCCCACACTGAACATGTACAGTCAACAGCATTAGGTTAAGGACAACATTTGCTACATTCCATGTTGGTGTTAAGCCTTTCAAAACTGTCCACTGCCAGACAATCCTATCTGAAACACTGTCCATTCTGTAAATGTTTGTAGTCAATTCAGAATAAAGCACTTCAAATCGGGTAACTCTGAATTCCCCATTTGTCAGAAAATGATGAGGGACAACAACTTGGTTCGCCACCTGGACGCCTGTGAGACGATGGGCAACGCCACAGCCATCTGCTCCGACAAGACAGGCACGCTGACGATGAACCGCATGACGGTCATGCAGGTTTTCATTACAGGGCACTATTACAAAGGGTTGCCGAGGTTGAAAGACATCCCAGCATCGGCCATGGATCTGCTCACCACGGGCATAGGGGTCAACTGCGCGTACACCTCCAAGATACTGGTGAGATTTAAAAATACCTGTCCATTCAGGAAGCTCAAGGAAGTGTTTCCCACTGGTGGTCCCGTTATTTTGCTACTTTTCATCATTTTCTGGCTTCTGGTTATGGACAGCTTGCCATGGTTTACTAGTTACTAAAGAAGCCACATTTGTCATTACAGATCTCCAAATTGTCATATATTTGATCTAAGGCCCTGGAAAACATTGAGCACTTCTTATCTCATTTGTTGTTGTGTGTTGCCAATGCTATTGGATTGATGTCATGTGCTGCTGCATTTGATTCACACACCCTTTAAAGAACCTGATTTGTAATGAAATACATTTAACTTCTGCTGTGATTTGGCACCCTCTCTGCTGCTGTGTCCTGCAGGCTCCAGAGAAGGATGGTGGGCTCCCTAGCCAGATAGGAAACAAGACTGAGTGTGCCTTATTGGGATTCTCCCTCAAGCTGGACCGACACTACCAGGCCATCCGCGAAAAAATACCAGAAGAGAGTCTCTTCAAGGTCTACACCTTCAACTCGGAGAGGAAGTCTATGAGCACCGTGCTATATAACCCTGATGGCAGCTACCGAATGTTCAGCAAGGGGGCCTCTGAGATCCTGCTCTTGAAGTAGGTTCGCTGCTACTGCTCACACAACTCTGGCTCAGTTATATGATGATTACATGACTCTTTCCTGTTGTTCCAGGTGTTGTATGATCCTGGCATCCAGCGGCGAGGCCATTCCCTTCAGAACTCAGAAACGGAAAACAATTATGAAGCAGGTGATCGAGCCGATGGCGTCTCAGGGCCTCAGGACCATCTGCCTCGCTTACAAAGATTTCCCAGCCGCTGACGGAGAGCCCAACTGGGAAGACGAGGGAGACATCCTCAGCAACCTCACCTGCATCGCTGTGGTCGGCATTGAAGACCCTGTACGACCTGAGGTACGTCATTCGGTCTTTACAAAGGGACACATGGAGGCAACCAGTCAATAACAGTACAAATACACAGTATGTCAGCACTTTGTGAAGGTTTTCAACTAGTGGAATTATGAAATGTGTCTCTTTTAAGCGTGTTAGAGAGAGAAAATAATTCAGATAACTATCTGTGCTGATATTTAGAGTAGCTCTAGAGGTAAACGGAAGACATTCGTTTGAAGGAGAGAAGTTTTGGGAACACTTTATGACAATGAGTGTATCAACAGAATCTTTGAGCACCTTTTCTTATTGTTCCTTCTGTTGTCCTCATCAGGTACCAGAAGCTATCAGAAAGTGCCAGCAGGCCGGGATCACTGTCCGCATGGTAACCGGGGACAACATCAGTACTGCCCGGGCCATAGCCTGCAAATGTGGCATCCTGAACACTGGAGAGGACTTCCTGTGTATGGACGGCAAGGAGTTCAACCGACTGATCCGCAACAGTCAGGGAGAGGTCAGACAAAGATAGACTGAATCACAGACATCAGTGTATGATCTCAATCCATCATGACCCCTCACAGTTCTTTGTAGTTCCAACAACTTCACATTTTAGCACTTCTGGCACTATACACATTGTGAAAGGTACATTTTAGATTGTTGTCCTTTTTAAATGTCCTGTCCCTGATATGTTCTACAACCACTTTAATTCTCTTTTTAACCCTTGTAGGCACACTAACAACAGTTTTAGGGGAAACTAGCCTAATTTCAGTCTGCTACACTGATTTAAATGTATGTTACTCAACTAACACTTCATGTTTATCTCGTTTTGGTTTTTGTGCAGATTGAGCAGGGGCTCATCGACAACATTTGGCCGAATCTGAGAGTCCTTGCCAGATCGTCTCCGACCGACAAATACAATCTGGTCAAAGGTGAGCCACACTAAACGAGGTCAAGGAGAGTCGTAGGGGTCACATAGACGGGGATTGGGACAAGTATGGCAATGTAATAAAAACATCAAAATCAATGGCAAGCAAACCTTTAATGTATGCATATACTGTATACAAATTCAGAGGAAACCCTGAACCCTACATTTAAGAAATAGATCAAACATGCTGAAAGGAGGGGCTCAAAACAACAGAGAACAACAGTGTTCTAGCTGTTTTCAAAGACCATCAGAATTTTGCCCTTAAGTGTGTCTAAGCCGCTTGTGCTCATCATTACTCAGGTATCATCGACAGCACTGTGCTGGAGAAGAGGCAGGTTGTCGCGGTAACTGGAGATGGAACAAATGACGGCCCTGCCCTCAAGAAAGCGGATGTTGGCTTTGCCATGGTAACTATTGGCGCTAATGTCATCAGACTGATTCTTATTGCAAACTTTGTACAATTATTACTGTAACAAATTACTATTGATTTGAGAAACGGAAAATATAAAATGATTGATTCTGCATCATTTATGTTTTTCTACTATCAACCGTTTTAGGCTATTCCTCTAAGAAAACAAATATTGATGACTTCATGATCCACCTGCGATGCAACACCAGTCCTGGTCTAAACCTAGGCTCAGAGTCAGTTCTGGTGTAAGCTTTGCGTTGACTAACCACCATGCTGTGTTGTGCAGGGCATTGCAGGGACGGACGTGGCGAAGGAGGCGTCTGACATCATCCTGACAGACGATAACTTCAGCAGCATCGTGCAGGCAGTGAAGTGGGGCAGGAATGTTTACGACAGCATCTCCAAGTTCCTGCAGTTCCAGCTCACAGTCAATGTTGTCGCCGTCATCGTGGCCTTCACCGGGGCCTGTATCACCCAGGTGACAGCCTCCTGACACCTCTGCTGGACAGAATTACTTTAAATATTCACCCACACACTCACCCTGTTGCTAAAAAAGGCTGCCGAGCTACCATAAGGTGCTGGGTGGGCCACTGGGAACATTTTCATGGTTCAGTCTCTTTTTCAAAGCCTCAAAGACGGTGTAGACGAGTGAACTACACTGGCTTCAAACAGGAACATGTTCATTGGGAATCTCTTTTTCTTCTTTTAAACATGACAGATAACATTAAATGCATGGCATTCTAAAGAGAATCGTCAAACACAAAATGAGGAAGTATTCATGGTCCAAAGATGTGGGTCTCTGTTTTCTTAATTAAACTTTATCAAACTGTGTGTTTTAAATTGAAGCGTGACAGTTCTGGATATCAATGTAGACTGAGCGACTCAGAATGTGTGTGTGTGTGTGTGTGTGTGTGTGTGTGTGTGTGTGTGTGTGTGTGTGTGTGTGTGTGTGTGTGTGTGTGTGTGTGTGTGTGTGTGTGTGTGGTGTGTGTGTGTGTGTGTGTGTGTGTGTGTGTGTGTGTGTGTGTGTGTGTGTGTGTGTGTGTGTGTGTGTGTGTGTGTGTTGCCAGGACTCTCCTCTGAAAGCTGTGCAGATGCTGTGGGTGAACCTCATAATGGACACCTTTGCTTCACTGGCTCTGGCCACCGAGCAGCCAACCGACGCGCTGCTGCTCAGGAAACCCTACGGCCGCGACAAGCCCCTCATTTCTCACACCATGATGAAGAACATTGTCGGACACGCCATCTACCAGCTGGCCGTAATCTTCACCCTGATCTACCATGGTCAGTGAACGCAGCAAACCTTAGTGGTCTAAAACAGGCTCACTTAAAACCTCCTAATAAGAAACATTTGATAGCCTTATTACAACTGACTTACTAATTAATGATGAATTACTTTGACCCTCCCTTTCACAGGTGAGATTTTGCTCAACATTGCCAGTGGCAGAAACGCCCCCCTCCACGCCCCGCCCTCTGTACACTACACCATAGTGTTCAACACGTTTGTACTCATGCAAATCTTCAATGAGATCAACGCAAGGAAGATCCATGGAGAGAGAAACGTGTTCGAGGGGATTTTCAAAAACACCATCTTCTGCGTCATCCTCCTGGGAACCCTCCTCGCCCAGGTAACCTGGGAGGGCTATCGTCACACCTGGTCTGGTTCACAGTGAGGAGTAATGAAAGATTCGCTGGATGATGCTGTGTCTCCCTTCCTCCTGTAGATCCTCATTGTGCAGGTTGGGGGCTCACCCTTCAGCTGTGTGGCTCTGAACTGGCAGCAGTGGCTGATCTGTGCCTGTCTGGGTCTCGGCAGCCTGCTGTGGGGACAGGTGAGACAGGGATGACATGCAATTAAACATTGACCTGGTCCTTTCTGCAGCTGATCATAATTAGACAGTAAAAACAGTCTACAAACATGTTCAGCTCATATAGATAGTGTTGCCGATGTGTCTTATTGTTGTGTATTTTTACCCCGTCTCTCAGGTGGTGTCCAGCATCCCAAGCTGCGGCTGCCCGAAGGTTATAAAGCCTGCGACTCGTGCAGAAAAGTGACCGTACTGAGAAGAGGAGCCAGGGGCCTGTGGAAGAACCACACATGCTGCCTGGCCTGGTCCCTTACAATTAAGTGGTGCTGCCCTCATTGTATTTGTATTATTAGTTTTAGTTATTATTATAGGTTCCTTTCTTATTATATATAAGATAGATTTGTTCACCTCTGACGAAGAGGTTATCTTGTAGGTTTGTTGCAGCGTTTTTATTCAGTTGTTTGTCAGCAGGATTTTGAGAATATCTTAATTTTGTGTTTTCTGTCAAGCCCTCGCTTCATATTTCTTTATTTTTGAATGATCTAAATAAAGTAATCTCTGAAAATGCTCATGAAGTCTACAATCTGAACCATGTTGGTGACATAAGGATGTTCTAAATACTACATGTGTTGACAATGAATGCACATTATAAGAGGGGATTGTAAATAAAAGGACTAGATTTCAAATATACAGTCGTATCACCTCTAGGTGCAAACAGAGTTGCCCTTTCAAAATCTACTAATTTCATATTGCAGAATAAAGAGCAGTCAATGATGCTTTAAAAAGTATTTATTATTTTGCTAACATGTGTTAGGCTGCCTATTATCTCAAACAATGATGCAGATATACATAAGCTCTTGTTAAATTAGATAAAGTGAATATATGTAATATTTATTTCATGAAAAATATCAGTCATTTAAATTATGAAGTTGCTGTTAAATGTCTTTGACATTCATACAAATATCTGCATTAGGAAAATGACTACAATTGTTTCTGGGCTGGATTAAGCTCATACATCTGTTGTTATGACATATGCATAGATACACAATGACATCTCAGTGCAGCGAGATCTCTGATATCATGAGTCTCTTCTTACCCTGATGAACGGACTTCGATCCCTAACCCTAACCCTGTGCTTTTAAAATCAGTGCTAAGCTCTATCAGTCATTCCTCGGGGCACTAATCCATGAGCAACTGGCATTATGCAGAGTCATCAAGGGCACAAAATAAAATAAAAGTATTTTACACAAAAATAAGACAGAATGACTTGAATCGATGCTGGAAGTAATCATGATTATCCTGCAAGGTGGTGCTTTACCTTAAACAACTCTCCAGAGTACAGTACAATTGTATAACACCTCACAGTTAAACAATTTAAGGATGCATCGCCCATGATTAACAATGTGCAAATAACAACTACCATAGTGCAATGCCCATACGACTGCCAGCCTGATGTGCTTCACACTCATTCATAGGCGAACTCACCAGTGAGCAGAAAGCAGTGGTGTGGTTTCTATATGAACAATACAAAATACAAATAACCTTTCACAAACAGGTATTTCATAACTGCTTACAATTATAAGGAAGACATTTCAACTATTATTGGCAGTCACAGGCTGCTGTATACTAAACACCACTCTCACTGACAGAACCAACCCGATATCACGGCAAGACGTGAACATGTGACGATTTACCATGTTGGGAGACGTGAAGATGTCACGATTTCGTCCCTTCAAACGTGACAGTTACACGGTATTGTTAACCCATGTTAACCAGTGGAGAAATAACCGGAAATGCCAAGCAAATACTACCCCGACGGTCGGTTGTTATTGTCAATATTAATATAATAATGTTTTATTTTTTAATTGTCACACTCGATTACGCCAATTTTCTTGTTGCCCCAGCTGGTCGACACCTCTTTTAGCAGAAACAAATCGATGTTAATCCATGCGTGTAGATCTGGGCCCTTTCTCATTTCATCAAATCCCCCTCCTCGACTCCTCGGTCCTCCGGTAGTGACCCGGAAATGAATTTCAGCGCGCCATGTTGAAGGACATCTCATTTCTCTAAATGCACTTCGAGGATCGAGCGTCGAGGAGGCTCTCTGGAGTAGCTCTAACCGAGGATACACTGGCCGTGGGCCCTTCTCACTTCTCTTATTTTTCATTTCCTCGCTCCTCGGTCTCACCGGAAGTTGATTTGTCTGCGCCATCTTGAGTAGCGTCCCAATGGCCTTATTTTTGCCGGAGGACCGAGGAGCGAGGAGCGATAATGGAGGATAACCGAGTTACCACCAGACCATCCTTCGATGAAATCCTCAGACGCTCGCCCCGCCCCCTTACTGTGTATCGCTCACTGATTGGACGATGCAGTGTATGGAGTCAGATTTGGGTCAATATTCTAGCGCGTAAAACAAGCTAGTCACGAGCGGAAAATGTGCTTTTACACGCGCATAAAATGACCCTCGCGCGCTGATTAAACCCCCGCGAGCGGCTCTGCGCCCGCGAGCGAGAGAGACAGCCCTCTTGCTCGCTCGCAGGAGTATCAGCCTCGCGGAGTCTGTCTACGCGCGCGTGAAAAGTTTCTGGCCCTTTGGGGCGGAGCCACTGGACTTTGATTGACAGCTGCCAGGAAACCCGGAGTTGCCAGGTTTGATAAATGCCTGAACTACCAAGAGCCGAGGAGTGACGGCAGCAAAATCAGTTGGACGAGATTGAATGGTAAAGTTGTCCATAAAAAACTATTATATTCGTAAAGTGTACAGCTAATATATATATATATATATATATATATATATATATAAATACATTTTATATAAAACAATATATTTTTGAGTGGGCTGTATCTGGCGAAAATTGCATATATATATATATAAATATAATTGGTTGTAAAAAAAAAAATTGTATTTGCTTGATACAAAAGGACATTCTTTATAACCAATTGCTTTATTATCACGCATTTGTAATATTTGTATGCTGGAACTGTTGTATTCTTTTTGAAAAATAAAAGATAAATAAATAGCTCCCTTGTCATTCATTTTTATCCTTAATTATCCATCCAACACTGAAAAGGTGGTCCTTGTGAAGAATCTCATCACTATATTCCCTCAGCTGAAAGTCATTTACAACAATAGTTTGCTGTAGATTAAGTTTGTTTTAACCAAGGTATAAGGTTTTTTTAGGTGTGATTTTATGAATTATCTATTCTGTCAACATTTGATGAATTAGAAAAATATTTATATTTTTAAATGTTAACAATTATTTTCTTAATGACATATTGTGCTAATGAAATCCTTGTAAATAAATGTCCAATGAATGTATTCTTGCATTCGATTTTTTGAATAAAAACCATATCCACCACCTGGTACTTCCAGTAATCGTCATTGACACACAATGTGCAGATATATCACAATCAAATGTTAATTCTGGTTAAAGAAATATAACACAAAATGTGCAGAAATAACAAATGAGTGTGTTCATCTTGGTTACACATTTATGACACACAATGTGTAAAATGTGCACATTGTGTGTTAGGGGCATGTAACACATTTTGTGTGTAAAAATGATTTACACATAAATAAACACAACACGTGTTGTCCCTGAGCACACTCTGTAGGTGTGTTGAAATTCAACACATATTGTGTCATTTTTGACACATCCCTTCTAAGAGTGTACAGCAGACAGTAGCTAGTAATTTTCGACAGATACAGCCCACTCAAAAATATATTGTTTTATATCAAATTAATTTATATATATATATATATATATGCAATTTTCGACAGATACAGCCCACTCAAAAATATATTGTTTTATATAAAATTAATTTATATATATATATATATTAGCTGTACACTTTACGAATATAATAGTTTTTTATGGACAACTTTACCATTCAATCTCGTCCAACTGATTTTGCTGCCGTCACTCCTCAGCTCTTGGTAGTTCAGGCATTTATCAAACCTGGCAACTCCGGGTTTCCTGGCAGCTGTCAATCAAAGTCCAGTGGCTCCGCCCCAAAGTGCCAGAAACTTTTCACGCGCGCGTAGACAGACTCCGCGAGGCTGATACTCCCGCGAGCGAGCAAGAGGGCTGTCCCGCGCAGAGCCGCTCGCGGGGGTTTAATCTGCGCGCGAGGGTCATTTTATGCGCGTGTAAAAGCACATTTCCCGCTCGTGAGTAGCTTGTTTTACACGCTAGAATATTGACCCAAATCTGACTCCATACAGTGCATGCACTGATCTGATGCTTCTTGACATGAGAGCAGTTTCCCAGCGGAGTGAAGAAAACACATGAACCTCACGAGAGTCACTCCTCAGTTTATACCGTGTTTTGTTTCAATTCATGTATCATTTAGTTACAAATATGTGATATATCTGAACAACAAAGTGGTCAAAAATCATTTTCTTCATTTTTTGGAAACATTTTCATGATCGCTTTTTTCTTTTATACATTTTCATTTATTGTCATTTCCATTCAGTCAATCATTAAGTGCTATTAAAATGTTAATGTGCTACATATCCACACAAACAAACAAAGTGTGCAATCCAATGAATGTTAATCTAACTGGGTTTTGATAGATAATATATCTCTTTTTCTTCTCTCAATTATTTTATTTCTATTGTGCACTCTAATCAATATTAATCAAACTATTGTTCGTTTATACATTTTAAGAATGGCGTTTATTTTTTTTAGAATTATTTTATTTTATTTATTTGGGTCTACAACAGATGATACAAATGTTTGTGTCAGTAAATGTGTACTAACAGAGTGTTTGTGAAAATAACGGGGACAGAGCTGGCTGCTGTCAGACGATCAGCTGTGCAGCATCATCACAAACGGAGGTCGCTTCACGTGATGCTCCGGAGGAAAGGACGTCCCATTGCTCTTAAAACTCATTTCCCTGCTTTTGTGGTTCCCTTGCGTCTGTCCATGCTTCCCTGGTGGGAGGGACTAGTCGCAGGGAAACTACGCAAGTGAGGGACGCAAGGAATCCATTTAATCAAAGTGAGAAGGACCCCGTGTCTCAATTCAGGGGTTGCATACTTCGAAGGGTGCATTCGTAGACCGCTTACGTCACTTCCGCCGAAAGAAGGCTGTCCCAATAAAAAAAAAAGACGAGACTCCTCCGAATGCGGCCCACGAATGCAGCCTACTTTTCCCCAATTTGAACATGAATTTGAAGGATACATCTAATGTACACTCCGCGGCCTACCATATCCCAGGGTGCAATGCGCGCAGGGACGAGGGAGTTTTTTTCAAATGAAATGGCTTCCGGTCTCCCCAGCAGAGTGGATTTAAAAGCAGCAGCGAGCGGAGGAATCACTAATAAATGTGAGTATTGGGTTTTAACTTACTTTAAATTAACTAACGTCACACACGTCAAACCCAAGGGGCATTAAAACGTACATTTGCGTTAAATAATACGGTGTAGTGCCAGGAAAAGGGAGTCGGAGGCGGTGTATTAAGAACAGAGTTCCAATCTTTATTAGCCATTAATAACAGAGA